AGATGGATATAGGGACGACAGATACGAGAGGTCGGGTCGAGATGGCTACAGAGGTAGTAGGTATGAAAGAGGAGATCGGGACTGGGAACGACGAGATGGATCGCGCGGACGGTTTGAGCGCGGGGGAGATGCGAGAGAGCAGCGCGACGAGTCGCGGGGGTGGTACAAACGAGGGGACCGACGCGATGAGTCACGAGGGCGATATGACTCGCCGGAATGATTCGCGAGGGCGGTATGAGCAAGGAGGGTCTGGAGGAGACCGGCGCAACGATTCGCGCGGTCGGAATGAGAGAGGCGGATATGGCGTTTCATCAGAACCATATCCCAAGTCGCCTGACCCCAAGGCCGCCAGGAGTTCGATCTCGAGAAGCGCAGACGACAGGCCATCTACTCCCAGGAACTCATGCGTCTACTGTAGAGGAGAAGATCATATCAAGAGGGATTGCCCGGACCTTAAACGGGCAATAGATGAGGGACTTGTCGTGCTTGATGACCGCAAGTATGTCAAGTGGGCAGATGGTCTAGGAGATGTATCGATGTTCCCTTCGATGAAGGAGAATGTCGAAGCGAGGAGAGTAAAGCCGAGTAAAGAAAAGGAGTCGGTCAGGAGCCAGAGCATCAAGATAACCTTTGAGGGGGATATGGCGACCACACCCATAAGGGTGGCAGCCACCAAGTCGGCGAGAGGGTCTACATCGAAGAAGACTGACACAGATTACGTGATGACGGACAAGGACGGGCAGTGGGTCGATGGAGAGGAGGTTATCCTTTCGCCGCGAAAGCAGGGAGTGAAGAAGTTCTTAATGACGAGTTCGCTGGACGAGATTGACACGGTCGAGACACTGAGGCGGGCCCTTCGGCAGCCCATGCGGTGCTCTATTCTGGAGTACCTGGCGGCATCGAAGCCGGCTCGTGATGAGTTACAGATGATCACGCGGAAGACTCGCATACCCCTATCGGAGGAGGGTCAGGGTGTCCCTAAGGCGGAAGCTTTTACAGTAGCAGTAACGACGGTGACTGCCAGAGCGGATCGCATGGCGACAGTCCTTCTCGATGGAATGGAAGGTGTGCCTCCAGAAAGTTTTATATACTTGGTAGCGGGGTCGTGGAGACGATTATAAACGATAGAGCAGTACTCGATGCTGTGATCGATAACGGCAGTGAGGCTGTCATCATAGACGAGGACCTGGCAGTACAGGTTGGACTGGGCCTCGACATGTCGTACCTATTCGAGATAGAGACGGCTGATGGGAGAAAGCAACAGATCACTGGGGTTTGTCACAAGGCAGCCATAGAGGTCCAAGGGGTACGAGTGACCCTGCCTGTCTTTGCAGTCAAGAACTGCAGCTCCGACCTGCTCTTGGGTCGAACGTGGTTGAGCCACGTGCATGCGGTGACGATAGAGCGACCCGATGGGAGCCAAACATTGTCCATTAAGAAGCCAGACGGGACGCGGGTAATGATTGAGACAGTGGAGCATTGGGACCCGAGGAACAGAGCAGCTCTCGCTGTGGGAGCGGGACCCAATGATCAGATTAAGTCATTGCCTATCTCCGGCCGCGCGGTGCGATTTCGCGAGAAGAAATATGGACCACTGCTCACAGAGGAAGAAGGTCGGATCGTGGAGGTGGAAGATTTAGGGAGTCGGCTAATAGTGGACGGCAACTCGTACCCAAAGGAAAAAGATGAGGAATTTGGCGGTGTGGTATCCGTGTCTTTTTTAAGGACACGGCCCCCTATGGGGGGCTACCTAAGCGACACAAGCGAGTAGCTCAAAAAGTTAAGCCAGCGGCGGTGGGCCGCGAACGATTTGCACTGGAAGGGATATCGAAAGAAGAGATCGCGAAAAAAATCAAAGAAAGAAAGAGAAACGAGCCGCAACGCCTAACGGAAGAGAGGATAGCAGGGATGGACATCGGAGATGGGGATTTGAACCCACAGGAACGAGAGCGTGTGATAGAAATCCGGAAGACATGTGATAAGGCCATAGCTTTTAGTGACGCAGAGCGCGGTAGGGTTGACCCTCGATACGCTAAGCCAGCAAGGATTTACACGATACCACATGTTCCCTGGAATGACGCGGGATGGAAATACGCCCAGAAGGAGAAGGAAGAAGTTATCGCTTTCCTGAAAGAAAAGATGGTTTCCCATGTTGCGGAGCCGTCTGATAGCGTTTATGTTAATCGATGGTTCTTCCTACGAAAGCCGAATGGCAAGATCCGATGGATCCAGGACCTTCAAAAGGTTAACGCGGTGACGATACGAGACGTGGGCTCCGTGCCACACGCCGATTTACTGGCAGAAGGCACCGCAGGTAGGTCGATTTATTCGGTCTGTAATCTGTTCTCAGGCTATGATGAGGTGCCACTTGACCCTAGAGACAGGCACCTCACGGCTATGCATACGCCATTGGGACTAATACAGATGATGGTTGTCCCTATGGGTTGGACAAATGGGGTAGCCGTTTTTCAGAGCGCCATGGTAGCCGTCCTCAAGGACTTTATCCCTGATAAGGTTGAAGTTTTTCTGGATGACTTTCCTATAAAAGGGTCAGTAAACAAGGATGAGGCAGA